CAGCATATATAACCTGCATGACAGTAGAGAAGCAATTATGGTCATGACAGTAATTAGCCCTTACGCATTGGCAGTAATTCATGTTAGTGGGATCCTCTTTTACTTAACCTAGAACATGTAGCATGTCAGTTATTATTTTGAAATTCAAATCCTCACTAAAAACAAATTTGTGGGCTGTGAGAGAGAGAGAGAGGAGTTACAATCTCGGCCAGATAGTGTGGACTAGAAACAAATTCGAACCAATCACCATGGGGGATTACATATTCATCAGTTTGTTCTGTGTGTTCTCGCAGGGAGCCCTGATCAAAAGTAAAAAAAAATTAGTCAACAATGAGATAAGTAAATTTGCAGGACATGCAAACTGAGCTCCCTGTCACAATGTCAACCCCCTTCTCCTGAGATATCTTAAATGAAAACAAATTATCAAAGACGTGAATAAATCAATCTCCAGATAAGAAGTGCAAAATAAGTGTTTGTTGTGAATCTGTGATAGCAAACAAGAGAGATGAGAATAGAGTCACATAAATAATGGTAAGAATAATCTGGAGACTGAAAAATAACATTTCAAAAATCCTATTGTTCTGAATGCAAAGTTGCAGCAACAGAAGAATAGGTGCTTCAATTTAGAAATTGCAACCACAAAAGAAAAAGAAAAGGAAACAACTGGCATTGCAAGATAAATTATGCAGTCAATCCAAGGAAATACCAAAAATAAAGTTTTGCAGAGAGAGCATGGCTATAATCAGGAAGAAGCAACTATTTTTTTGTTGGTCTAATCTGGCAGAAGCATTAAAAACACAATTGCTAGGGCAGAGTGAGAATTTCTGGTAAGCAGTACAAGTTTAGCATCAAGTGCAACTTTTCTTTTAAACATTGAATGAGGAAATATATAAGAGACCAAGTTAGAGCCATTTATCCACATGCATTGGCCCACCTACAGAAAATCTAAACCTCTAACTTAGGATTTGAGAAAGTTCAGAAACCTGGAGAAACCACTTAGATGCCACTGGTCAGTAAAACTGTGTTTTTGAAGCACCTGGTATCATTATTTTACTTACAATGAGAATAGCTCATAAAAAATAACCTGGCCATGCCATGAGATGCAAGGACCTCTTAATTCTATATCAGGAATTTGTTCAAATTAGTGTCCCAGATGGTGAAAAGCTATGTTGCATGGGTTCTTTAAGACAATAGGCGGATCCCGTATCGAAACGTGTGGACACGGACACACACACCTCAGACACAACTATTGTGACTCGTATCAGAATAACCTATGCCTTTTGAACACATACGTGACATGGACACACCAGATATCCATTAACTTTTAGTGTTTATTATATAAAAAAGGCATACAACTACATATAATTAGTTAAAATTTCAACCAACTCTTTTTAACTCTCATCATTTATTATATAAAAAAGGCATACAACTACATATAATTAGTAAAAATTTCAACAAATTCTTTTTAACTCTCATCATCAGAGTTATGACTAAATTGACTGACTAGCTACGCATCTGCAAATTAAAGAATGACGGTAAAAACAAGCAACTTATCATAACAGAGTGTAACAATTACAAGAATTGCATGACAACGGTGCTGATGAATCCAACCCCAAATAAATATAGCTGCACCAATCCACTGGCACAATCCAAGCTTTGTAAGAGGATTCACATATTCCCACCAATCAAACTCTATGATTTGCATCCGATCTCGGCCTTTAACAATGAACTCAGCCACTCGACCAGTAGCAAACTTTAATACCTCCGGTATGCAATTGATGCAAAGTGATAGTGGAGCTGCTGTGTAGAAACTACCCTCGGAAATATGACATGAGTCAGTAAAATGTCTAGTAACACGTATGTAGAAACAGTTATAACAAGGGAAACAGAAAAACTGAACATGATTTGTGTCAAGCAGTTATAGAAAGTGTTTCTCATTCCAAAACATAAATTTGATCATTGGCTTAATGTTTTGATAAATTTCACACAATGTAATGCTTCGAAAGCAGACTAGACAAGAGCAGCTTGATTAGGACCAGTCCCTTTACCAGCCTGACTGAAACTGGATAGCCTTATTCGGGGTCAAATGTGGTTGCAGTCAAACAAAAAGAGCCAAAACTCATATTAAACAAGTTCAACTTTTAATCTGATAAGTTCTTATTAGCCTAATTATTTTGAGCCCCAGTTTCCTTGAGCAACAACCCAAGGTTTGAGATGCTTCTCTGGACTTAAAGGGATTCCTTACATGAGAGTTGGGACACATGGGGAGATTAATCTGGACCATTCAAATGTGGGCCGATGCTTGGATCGACCGGATAATCACAATAAGGAACCTAACTATAAGCCTAGAACACCAACAACCTCAAAAGGTATTATCATATGGGAATGGGAACCAGTCCAAAACCAAAGCGTAATTCATAATGTAGGAAACCTTTTGGATTTGGTCACAACTCAAATTTCATACTGTTCAGACAATTGTAGCCTAGCAATCAAGACCTTCACTTTGGATCTTAATCATCCAATTCAATGGTCAGTATAGCATTCAAACACCAGGTTTCCTGGATGGTGTGAATATTGAGCCTCAATACAGCAGGCGTAAGCCTCAGGGGATTTAAGCCTAGAGGTTGATCCTCGAGGCGTTTTCCTAGAACCTTGCCTTCCGGCGAACCTTGAGGTCATTATAATTGGAATTTTTGCATGTAATGTCAGACGATATCAACATCACAAGATAAATGGAAGTTAAGATGCGCAATAGGAAGTGGAGTGGGTCTTCCCTCTCTCCTTTCGGAGCTTCTTATAGGGTTGGAAATTGGTGCCGTTGGTGGGGGCTGCGGAAGAAATTTGGACTCTTTTGTTGTCTGTTACTATCTCTTGGGCTATTTGGAAAGAGAGGAACAGTTGGGTCTTCGACGACTCCCCCTCTCCTTTCTCTCGGCTTTTAGGTTGTGCTCTTAGCCTTATTGTGGAATGGAGCTCTACAACTCAATTGGGTTCGGAAGTCAGGGAACTGTTACTACTATGAGGATCATACCTGCATAAGTGCCTTAGGCCGTCTTTTTCTTTTATTATTGTATAATTGCTCGTTCTTATCTAGTTCTTATCTAGTTTACATCTCTGTAAACTACTGTAGTTGTCTTTTAATTCATGATATATCTGCTATTTACCGATATATAAAATAGATGCGCAACAAGAACGATGCGAAGAGACTCAAAATCAAAGAGATTTGTGGAAAGCTAATACCAGCTCCCTTGACCATGAAAAAAGAACAGAGTAAAAAGAGATTGTTTGCATTACCAAGAAACATATCTTTTATAAATCTGATAGGCAATGACAAAAATGCACAGTTCTTAATACTCAATAGAACAACCTATTATACAAAATAGCACCATGGAATTTATAACCTTCACGAGAAAGAATAATGATTTTAATAAAGTAGCAAGGACTAGTATATGAATCAACTTCAAAACAGACATGAAAGGTTCTTCAAGTTAGATGTCACAGAAAGGAAGTTTCACAAGTAATCTTTCAGATAAAGGAAGGAAAATGAAATTTCATAGTTAAACTTCGAGATAATTTGTATGCCATGCATTTCATGACTGAAGGACCCTAAATAGCAAAATTTTGATTGAAATTCAAGTTTCTGGGTAGATTAGAACAATAACTATAATAAGCAGATGGATGGAACTAAACAAATATCTAAATTTAAGGCTATATGGGGAACTAAACTTTTCCAATCGCAGACTGTACTGATAATGGGGCTGAACATCGATAAATACATTATTGATGCTACTAATTAAGAACAAATTTGAAGCACCGAAAACATGCTCCAACAAATGGGCATATGGAGCTATGACAACTACATGTTAGAAGGGAAGAGACCATACTTCATTCAATCATGTACTTTTTTTGTTGGATCGGTTCAATCACGTACCATTCATGCACTCAAAGAACAAGTCATAATAGAAGGGGAAAAAAACATGAAGCAAGAGAATCAAAGTTTGGAGGAGCTTCAAATACTTACAAAAGGCCAGTTAGATAGCCAAAAATGTGCATCCGAGCTGAATGGCTGTAGTTAAAGACATATGCAGTCTCATAAAGGCGTCTCAAGACTTGAACTTCCATCAGTAAAAGCAAAAACACAGATCGCCATACCCTGTATCTATGCTCTACAGGAGTTGGATGTGACTTATGCATGTAAAGTATATGTGAACCTCCGGTCAAGTAGCTGGCAACCATGGAGTAATGTAATGACTCAGAACCCAACGGCACCATTCTATACGCATAGAACCAAGTTGTAAGTACCAAAAGTGTTGTCCACCCCACAGCCACCAAGTAAAAATGCAAGAAGAATCTCTGAGGAATGGTGAACTTCTACAATTCCACAAAGCAACAAACTAGTGAAGTTCAATTGAGCTAATACAGCGGGGCACAGAAAAAACAAATTTCCAATTATTGGAGGAAATATTGCAAAAGTAAAGCTCTTTTATGACAAGTCTGGAAAAGTAAAACAAAAAAAACCTAATTAACATAAGGACCCATCTACACATTGCAACATGAGGGTAAAATTGAAAAAGTGACGTTGGAATTCCCCAAAACTTTGATTAGGAAATCTACTCTCAAAAACTACTTTCCTAAAATCAGGTTAATAGGTACTCAATTAGGGTCGAGTATGATAACATAAGTAGGATTACCAACATTGGTAAGAACCCTATCTAAGGAAGTTAAATTATATTAGATCGATAGAGTAGTTAAGCAATCTATTTTAGTTAGCTAATTGTGGATTTAATTTGTTAATTCTTTAGAAATTTTATAGATTTTTGAATTTGATTTAGATTTTATTAGTCATTTGCCTCAGTGGGGTTTTAGAAAGTCTTTCATAAAAGCAACGATACCTTGAGGATTTTGAGATTTAATCGTGAAATATCGATTGCTTGTTGAACCCTATGAATTGCGTGAAAATAAGATACTCAAAAATCGCGGACAAAGAGTTTCATAAAATGGAGATTGTAGTTCAATTGGTCAGAGCACCGCCTTGTCAAGGCAGAAGTTGTGGGATCAAGCCCCATCAATTCATCTCTCCATCCTTTTCACCATGCATAAACTAAACCAACAATTGGGATAAGCACGAAAGAATTAAAGAATTAATCCATTTTTTGGGTGAAATCGCTTTAGAGGCTCCCCCTATCCTTTGAATCGGGTGCCACAGAGGTCCCCCACCCTCGACGAGTCATTCAATCCTTGTAATTGGGACTTTTTCCCCGATCCATCAAATTAGAGAGAGAGAGAGACTCTGATGCTGCCCATTGATAAGGAGGGACAGCAAACTATGGAAAATTCAAGTATATAAATCAAATATATAGAAAATGAAATTCTAAAAATAATTTATTCCAATGATAACCAAAAATAAGAGTTGGGAATGTCACTAAACGAGAGGAATCACTCAACTTTTTTTTATAGAAATCACTCAACTCTTTAAAAAAGAGGAATCACTCAACTCTTAAAAAGCAACAGACTAAGAAATTATCAAAACAATAGATCCTTCTTTCTTGAGGATCTAAGTGGTGCCTTGTATAGAACCTTAAGATCCAAAAATGAAGATAATCCGCATTAAGACATTAATACCTTAGAATCCCATCACCAACTATCATGAATTCTCATGCAACTAACCACTGAAACCCACCATTGAAAGTCATAACCATGAGCTCCCATGCACTACCACATAATCCCAGGTTAACAATAATTCCTCCACTTAATTTTCATCAAGAAAATATTCATTAAGTGCTTCATATATCTTTAGACGTTGATGCAACTTCTCACACTGGTCCCACACTAAGAGTTGCCATCCCCATTCCTTATTTGGAGCTATCACTATAATAATTACTTATTTTTCAGTTGAAAAGATTCAATTTTTTGACTTTTTCTCAAGTCTCGTTTTTCCATTCTTAACAATCTACATCAGATTGGTATCCAAGCAAGTTCTTTCCATGGGTTGAAATTGCAAGCACCTTAGTGGAGATTTGCTTGGTCTTGCAATGAGTATAAAGTATCTTCAATTACTTCAACGAAGGGTTGCAAAACACCAAGAATGCGAGGTAATATCTAATATCACACCTGAGTTCATGTTATCTTGAGCAACAAATCATAGATCGAAAGGTATCAAATTGATTTCTTTCCTTGCGTTGAATTGTAATCGCAGTTGTGGAAATCTGTGTGGACTTGCAATAGCTACAAAGTATTATCGGTTGATTCGATGGAGAACTGTAGAATAAAAGGAATGGAGGGCAATATCAAACTGAGGATCTTGTTTTCTACAGTAGTAAATAAAAAATAAAGTCGCCACCGATCTGCGACAAATATACAACTGATGCATCTCTTATCATTGTTGAACATCCAGTTCTCGACTTACCAATTTTTTGTAATGGAGAAAGAGACCAATGAACGGCTTGAAACAATGATTGATGCAGAAGTTTCTGAGTGATTCCTCTCACTGAGCAAATGTCTTCCCCAACTTTTATTTTGATTTATCACTGTAATAATTTTTTTTCCTGGAGTATAATTTGCATTGACAAAGTTTGTATGTTTTGAGCTTTTCTCAATTTTCTTCCTCCATTCTCCATCCATTTTACTAACACAATCCAATAAAAACAATCCTCGCTTGTATTAATAAGCATTGATTGTCCGACACCATCGCCAGATCCACTGGCCATCCTATCCAGAGACACCATGTTCATCACCACACCGCAACCAAGGTTTGTTGTTTTGATTGCTTGACGCCTCGCTTTTATTAATAAGCATTTATTGCCCAACGCCATCGTCAGATCCACTAGCCATCCACCAGAGACACAATGTTCATCACCACACTGCAGCCAACCAAAGTTGGTTTGTTGTTTTGATGCCAAGTTCCATGGTTCCCCTCATTAATGTTTTGATCGTCTATTTAGGTTTTGGGTGAAAAAAACTCACCAGACCCTCTTTTTTATTACTTTAAGGATTATTAAACAAAGAACTTTGAAAGAGTCTTGTGAGCATGGGATTTTTCAACCCACTTTCACAATTATATGTTTTGACTTGAGTCGCCACCTATTCATTCTTAGGGATAGGTCCCGGGTATTTGTTTGTTTGGATAAGGCAAATGGTCTTTACAGAGTTAGGGTAAGCGGTTCGATTAAGCCCTGGGGAAGGTATTATGCACCCCAAGACCTCCGTTTTATAACGGTTACTTACTCCCTAAACTTAAGCCAATTATAATCTCAAAGTTTAATTTAAAATGTCCAAAGTTTTTAAGTGAGTGCTAATCCAAGAAAAATAGAAAGCTAGATGGCTAGGGTCGAACCCGAGTTGAGTTGCCTACGTACTCACATGGTGAGATCAGACCGAGCGTAGTTCTGGCACATGAGCCCGTGCTAAGGCGAGGGGGGGTGTGTGTGTGCACCAAGGGCGGCTTAGGGTCTAGCCTAGAAGGCTATGGTTTAGTTGACCGGGGAGGTCAAGTGCACAAGGGGTAGGTCTAACCGCGTTTAGAGGAGATTTAACTATGGTTAGGTGAGCTAACCAAAGCTAAAGAGGTCCTGCAAGTCTCTTTTTGGTTTTTTGTATTTTTATATTTTTTGGGATTTTGGAGATATTTGAATTTTTTGGTATTTTGGTTATATTTGCATGTTTTTGGTATTTTGATTATATTTGAATGTTTTTTTGGTATTTTGAGATTTTATTATGTTTTTGGTATTTTGAGCTTTTATCATGTTTTTTTTGGATTTTCATATGGGTAGGGTTTTGAAAAACTTAGCTAAAGTCACATTTAATCCAAGAGTTTGGCTAAAAGATTATAGTTTAAGACATAAAGAGAGGATGTGCCTTATGAATGTAAATGGTCTATTGCCAACACCTATTTTGTTGAATTGGTGTTGATAATAGATCAAATATCATTGTCTTTGGTATGAGACATTCTTAAGAATGTCCTCTTTAAGTCCTTAAACTATCATTTATTTTAAGTCTTTAAACCATCACCTACCCATTCAACATAGAACATGAAGGAAAAATAAAGAAATGAAAGAAAATGAAAACTCATCCTCTCCCTTTTAAGGTGGTTCATTTACACCATTATTAATGATGTAATGTTGCTCTAAAGAATGTTAGGGAGGGGATGAGCTTTCACAAAAAATTCTAGAAAGAGGACTAGAATCTCAAAAGAAAACAAAATGAAAAAGAGAGGTATAGCTTTAGCTTCCACTCTCTATAGGCCTACCCATATCCACACTTGTGGGTACATAAAAAAGAAGAAAATATGTACATGAAAAGGAAAAGAAAAAAGGAGCATCTCCTTGCCTTTGATATGGGGTCCCTCTACACCATTAGATTGGTGTAGAGAGGCCCAACTATGCTTGAGAAATGAGAGATCAAGAAGAGAGAACCAAATAAAAAAAAAGATAAGAAAGAAGAGAAAATGAAAGGATGAGTGCCTACTCCTCCAAGAATTCTCCTTCAATGCTCCAAGTGGTTAGGGTTTTAGAATCCACAAAGGAAGAGAGTTAGTGAAGAATTCTAAGCTTATAGTCTTAGAATTCTTTCCAAACTCTAAACCTTAGTTTCTTCTCCCTTCTTCAAACTCAAGAGAAACACAAGTGGGTGGGAACCTTCTAGGGGTCTTGAGGGATGGATCTAAGGGGCTAAGGGATTGGTATTTATAGGAAAACTAAGAGGTTGGGTTGTGTCTTTTACATGGGGGATAAAAGGAGCTAGTGGGTAAAGACTTGAGTGTTGTAAGGTGAGTTGATAGATTGAGTGTTGTAAGGAGTGTAAGAGAGTGTAAGAGAGTTGGTGGGTTGAGTGAACTATGGGTTATATGGGTATGGGTTGTAGGATATAGGGTGTAAGAGAGGTGTAAGAGAGTAGGTGGGTTGAGTGAACTATGAGTTATATAGGTATGGGTTGATGTAAGAGAGGTGTAAGAGAGTTGGTGGGTTGAGTGAACTATGGGTTATATGAGTATGGGTTGTAGGATATAGGATAGGTGGATATGGATATGTGGATTAGGTCTTATGGATCATGGGTTATTAGTAGATGGGTCATGGGTTATGATTATTGGACTTTGACTATGACATTTGGGCTTGGGCTTGGGCTTGGGCTTGGGCTTGGGCTATGGAAATAGGCTTTGGCTTAGACAATTGGGTGATTGGGTATTTGGGCTTGACTACTTGGGTTGGGTAATAAAATTAGGTAATTGGGTTTGATTGAGTTGTCTAGGTATAAGTTTGGTCAAATGGGCTTGGGCCTTGGGTATACCTAGGGCTTACTAAGGTTAGGCTAGGGCTACCTAGGGTTTGGGTTTAGGACTACCTAGGGTTAAGCTTAAGGTTAACTAGGGTCTTAACTAGGGTCTAGTCCTATGGTTAAGGGTTTGGAACTAGGGTTGATCTAGAGTTTGGACCATAGCTAAATTAATTAACCACGGTTAAGGGGGTGTAAAAATAGGGTGCTGACAAGTCTAAATCAGCCACGTTGTAGGATATCAAAAAATGAGACCTCAAAATCTCTATCCAGGCTCACTGTAGGATATCAATTTCTCTGCTTCTCTTTACAAGCATCTAGAGTCCAAAATCGCTCCTCGCTTTTAAACTGATAAAAATGTGCATCACATAACACTTTGTTAGAACATCTCTACTTTAGTCATCTAGCTATGACTCTATGGTCAACATCCTCCTTAATCTCTCCATTTTTTTGAATAATTGACCTAAATTGGTCACTTTTAGGTATCTCTTAGTCAGTAACTTGACAACCTTTACTATTACCTCACTCCTAATTAGGGGCAAAGCCAGGATTTTTTTTTTTTTTTTTTTTTTGGGGGGGGGGGGGGGCCATTTGGTTTAAGGGACGGGGGTTTGGGGGCGGAGCCCCCGATTTTTTATTTATTTTTATGACTAAGGTTTTGGTCATCCATCAATTTTTTACTTATCCTACAGCTATTGTTTCTTCCTGTTTACAGGAGCAATTGCCCCCTTGCCCGATGACTATGCCCTATTAAATAATATAATATAATTTTTTTTTTTAAGTTTAGGAAGCAGTTGCCCCCTTTT